CTAATTCAAACTAAAATTAAAGAATTTAAATCAGTAAATGGTTTACAACCAAAACAAGAAAAATATCGTTGTGGTAAATACATATAGGGGAAAAAATCCTTTCAATTCAGTTACTGGTAAATATTGTATAAAACCATTAATTACTACTTTGAGACGACCACTTACATCTTACCTGTCGTAGTCGTTGTCAACTGTAGGTGTACACAATTGTTGAAAAGGTGTATTAGACGTGTAAGGAAAGGAATGTAAATACTGCGCAATACCAATTCAAGTGGGGACTTTCTCAAAATGCAATTGCATTGAAAAGTATCCCGGAGTAGTATAGTTTAACTTTGTGGTGTGTTTGATATGAAGCGAACGGTTAACGTCGAATCCAATGTTTTTAAGACGTGCATTGGCCTTACATAGATCTTCACACATTCATTTGTATTTGTTTGATTTGGGAGTGCAAAATAAATTCACAAAAAATGTATTTAAGGGTCAAGAATGGGAATGGCGGATTTTACAACCACACGTCCAAATATATACATTAAATAATATGAGTAGAATATGTAAGGTTGTCTTGCTGCGCATCGTTTTAATGTCCAAGAAAACAACTTTCCACGAGCCGTATGTGATTCGTATTGTCTACTACTATCTGGGTATGAATGCAATGCATGGACAGAAGAACGGACGGATGGACCCATCCAACCATCACTATATACCGTCCAATTAAGAAAGCAGAGAGTATAGTGAATATTAGGTAGAATAAAATGAAGGAAATCGAGAAAAAAAAATGCCAGACATACAATTTAGCAAGCTTTGCAAGAGGTAAAAACGAATATTCAATTTTCAAAATATCCTTCTGACCCAAAGATAATAAGATTAACTTCTCCATATGAAACTTTAACGCCACTTTCAACAATATCTCAATTTAATCGTGGTGTTCTTTTTTGTTGGTGGAGGAAACCGTGATACCGAAACGTAAATTTAACATGCTTGAATAATGCCCAAAACTTAATTTACACAAAGCTTTTTAAACTTAATTCGATAACTCTTCTGTCCGAAAAACTAACTGACAAAAGTTGATAGAAAGAAAATGTCAGTATAAATGTGAATAAGAATAATTAATTCACACATTTTAACGGGTTTTTTTTAGGTTTTGTTCCTTTTCAGCATTACATTAAATTGCCAGAGTGAACTTCCTAGATAAAATAAAAAGATAAAGAGTATCAAATTGAAATAGCTTTTGTTTCATTCTTTTATTTTCTTTAATTGTCAAGTACACAAATTGCTAGATGTTTTTATTAGCATTTTAAGCTACACATTTCTCTAATCTAGAAAATAATATAAATTAAGGAGATGTGGTATGACTGCCAAAGTAGACAACTATCTACCAGAGACCAAATGACGCAAATGTTTGCAACCATTGGTCACCGTATGCCCCCCCCCCCCCCCCCCAAAAAAAAAAAAAAAGAACCCATCCCGTATAAATGCTACGAAAGGTATATCTTAAATAAATTTCAAATAAACGAACATTTTGAACAAAGATTGGCGTAGTGTAAAAAATCGGATTCGGATGTATTTTGAATGCAGTGTTTTTTTATTCATTTATTTTGATCACTTTGCAGATTTTCCTTGTAGTCGTTCAACAACATAGTAAGAAATGGGGGAACAACGATCTTAAACTTATTCGATCATTACTATGAACCAAGTCAATTTTATGATTATATTAATAATGATTGTTTTGTTTTGCTGGATCCTCCTCGGTGTAAATTGTTATTACTTAATTGTATAAAAATCATCTCAGCATTATGATCCATTATCAAACAAACCCATACAGGTAACTATAATGAATGACTACCTGGGCTTTTTGAGATAGTCCCCACAATAGCCTGTAGTGGTATTGGTATTTCACATCAGCGTCAAAATCGTATTGACTTTCCTAACACGTCTAATAGACATTTTCGAAAACTTATCGACACTGACGCTTACACCTATGCCTAGGACTACAGGTAACCGTTTTAGGTGGGGTCATCTCAAGGTGTAAAATGAGCACAGGCATTTATAAAAAAATATATACATAATTTACACTTTAATTAAAGGGGCACTAGCTGTCAAATTCATGTTCACCGATTTGACTAAAATTCTCATATTTGATTTATAAAATGTAAAACATTTATCCAAACTATTAAAAGTCTAAAATAAACAGTTAACATGACATGGGTATGATAACACGTAGCTTCGTTTCGTGTGTATTTTAGTCTAAACGCCATCTAATTAACTATCGAGTTGTCCCCCAAAACAATTCACGTGTTATCCATCTCTAGCTAAGGGGTTAAATTAAAGTTCACATGAATACGGATTCAATGAGGTCTAATTATTCACTTGCAAGTGAATAATTCATCATCAATGTTTCTTAGCTTATTTTGACAAAATTGAACCATACTGGCGGCTAAAATCGAATAATTATTTCACTATTTCACTTTCATTAATGATTGAACAAAAAAAAAAATCATATATTAGATTTTTTATGTATCTCGTAGCTAGTGCCCCTTTAAATACTGTATAAAAAATATTTTCAATGATTTGTTGATTTATTGGCTCTGCTTAGAAGCTGAGAATTGACCGATCTTCATATTATATTTTCTAAAAAATGGGAAGGCTTTGTGTAAATTAGTAGAATTTTCCACAGAAAGTCAGGATTCTACTTCGTCAAAATGATCTCTCATTAACGCCGATAATTTTTTCAATCGTGAAAATGGAAGCCATTGTAGAGATGACCCGCGCTGTCAACTTAGCTCTTGAAAACCGATAAATTTATCCACTTGGCATAATAACGATCCTTACATGACAGTTGTGTTAAAAAAACAAATGTATCTACTAGCTATAAAGCATCTTATGTACTTTTAGGACTTTAGAAACTATTGTTTGGTTGGTTGTCAGGGGGACATTTTGAAAGTAAATAAAAACATTAAAAAAATTTTATTTAAGTATTATGTGGAAGGGCAGACTAAACATTTGCAGAGGTTGAAGAATAATTAACCTAGATTACACACACAAAAATGTTTTTTTTTCAGTTATGCATTTTTAAGATCCACTTATAAAGTCATGGACTTTTTGTATAAATCTAAGGAGGAGTTAGTGAACAACATTTGTCCCACTTTTTTTTTTATACATTTCATAAATAGAATAATTAATATGCCTTAAGTTTTCACTAAAAAATGATTGAACGAAAGTAAAACAAAATACATCTAAGAAATACACTTCCAGTTTTAACATTTGAAAGGTATTTCACTTGACCCATATATTTCCTGTTTTGGTACTGTGATTGTGTAATGTTATTATATCAAAATGTAGCCTAAATCTATAAATGGATCTGAAGCGAGACTGATGTATCAATATTTTTGCTTTATACGTATTCAGGACAAAACAGTCAACTCAAAAACCGCTTGGACGTAAAAAGGTGTACCCGATTTTCTCTTTTGATAAGATGAATACCCATTTTGGTTATTTTACCCCAAAAAATACATGAAATGTAATTTACTGCTTGAAAAAGACCAATCAGTATAATTCGACAATTAGAAGAAAACAGTTGGAATATCACAAATCATCACTTAAAGAATTCAAAAACTGATGAGAGCACTTTGTGTTTTTAGCTCAGATTTTGAATAAACAATTATAGAAAACCAACTAACGAATAATTATAGAAAACCAACTAATGAATAATGAAGTATATTTTTTTCTACCTCTGCTGAGTCAAACAAAGTTTTACGAGGGAGGTTTTTTTCTTCTATGGGATATCCATCCTATTTGCAGGGTCGCCATATTAAAAATATATGCGTTTATTTTTAAATATAATTTACCTCGTTAATATAGTTATAAAATGTTAAATTGAATTCATTTAGTATATTTTTCCATTTTGATACGGTCCCTCTATTTTTATAGTCAGTGTAGGTATCGGTGTCGGTATAAGTGTCCGTGAAGATGACTTTTCGAAAATGTCTATTAAGATTGTTTATATCTTTTTCATTCATTGGCTTTATCTCCGTTTAAAAACTATTTATCTGATAACCGATGTGTACATGTATTATGATACTTCAACGGCCGGGCTAGTTTTCTTATCATTTAAGTAGTAACCTACCTTGTTAATGGGATATAGTAATGAAATATTTACATTTTAACCATCTTTATAGTATATTTCATTGTATAATCTAAATTTGTAATCCATTTGATATTCAAATATTACAATTGTATTTCTTTTTATAGATAAACGCAAGAATATTATAAAGTCTTTGTTTTACAAATAACCTTATTTCAATTCATAAGTCAGGCGGTCTATTTTGTCTACGTTAAATATAATACTCAAAAAAGGAGATAAAGCGATAATAAAACGCATTACGTGGACATGATACATCATTCTCGACGACTATGAAATGGAAACTTTGTTCATATTCAAACGAGAAATACCCAAGCTAAATACATTAATTGAAGCCAAATGTCGTTTTTCGTTTTTGATAATTGATATCGAAAACAAAAAACGAAAACACTTCCGTTTTTCATTTTTTGTTTGAAGATATCGAAAACAAAAAACGAAAACACTTTTTTTGTTTGTTTTGGTTTTTGAGAAATCAAAAATGAAAAACATAAACACTTTCGTTTTCCGTTTTTTGTTTTTGATATCTCAAAACGAAAAACGAATGGACGCAAAAATACACGAACCAATCAGGCGGTATATGCATTTACCGAAACATGCATGCACACATTATATTGATAATTGCAAAAATGATAATGTGACAAAACTTAAGATATTATTAAAGTAAACTATGAAAAATAAATCACTTTCTAAATTTTATAAGTTCGTAAGCGCTATAAAATACCCCCATGACAAAAAGTGAAATAATTCAAGAGATAATCAAAAGCCTGATTTATTTGCAACAATTAAAAAAATCAACTGCCGACAGAACTTAACTCAAGTAAAACTTATTTCAAATCTGTTACTAACGGTTATATATAAATACCTGCTTTTGAAGTCCTCAAGTTCTACACATAATATACGTCCTGAAATATGATCATTGCGCACACATCTAAAACAAGCTCCTGAAAATAATTACTTTACGTCTATCATTTACATCATCATCTTTAAATATATACGACTTAAAACTTTAAAATCTCAATAGAGAAAAAATGCATATTGATATTCTTTTAAACTATTTGTGACAAAACTAGTAAGAGGATGTACAAAAGTACGAATGTATAGATATGTGGGCATACATATTCAGGAAATAATTTACACATGTGACAATCAATTGAAAAAAAGCAAAGTATGTACATAACTGTATAAGTGTACTTAAGGAAATGAGAGATAATTAAAATTTCTTCACCACTATAATTTTTACAAATAAAATTGAAACAAATCCGGAAAATGCTTATACATGCGGAATATATACTTTGTACTTTTTAAAAATAGTTTTATAAACACATCATGTTTAATTCGGAGGTTTTATTCGGATATTTGAACCTTTACCTTAGGTCTAATCTACACGGTTACTTATTTCTTGTAATTTTTAAAATTCTTGTTTTATTCTTTTCCAATAACATTATTTGATACTATCAAATTTGCTCGATGAATAGTTAACAAAATTATCAATTATATATATATATATCTCGACCTTGTGACCATTTTGTGACATATATTGGTCATGAAACTTCCTCTGTAAAACATTTAAAAAAATAAACCATTGATTTTTTCTTCCTGCAATGTATTTCTCCCCATTTTTGAAACTTAATAAAATACATATTCATTTTTCAAGGATATCATTATTTTAATAACAACATTTTTAATCTATAATGTTTTTAACAGCTAACAGAACTTTTTCACTTAGGAAATACAAACTGCTTTTAAAAATATTCACATAGATATGAAAAAGTAAAAAAAATATATTAAAGAAAAGAAAAATAACTACAAAAAGATGAAAATAAAACACACACTTACACATTAGAAAATCAGTAAGTAAAAGAAATAAAAACTATCTTTACCTTTCGAAATTTATCATTGTCCTCTGCACTTAAATATTCGGCTCTGAGCGTTCCTGATGAAGGTTAATCGTATAGCTTGCATATGTCAATATGGAGTATGTATTTATCATCTGATGCATGTATACAACTAATATATATTGAAATCACTATTTATATTCCTACTCTTTTATTGGTTTTAGCTTTTCCGTGGATTTAATTTAATCTATAAACATGTTATTTATCGCAACACCCTATAAAATGAAAATTTAATATATCGTGAAATTATTTGTATATTATTTGATCTTGAGTTTACAAAAGCTAAATTGTTAAGTATCTATACAGTGCATTTATATACAACATGCGCTAAGGAACAGTGACTTTGCAAATCTGTAAAAGTCAACGCACGGCCTTCAACAATGAGCAAACCCATACCGTATATACAGATATAAAAGACCCCGAACCTTGATTGAATTAAAATAAACAATTTTAAGAAAATGCTTAAATTTAGAGATTAGCTAGATTACCTAATCTATCTAAGATTATATAGATTGATTGAGACGAAAATGCCGATTATATTGCCTTAAATAAAAGATTATGATACAGATAAGTAGGTTGACGCTGTTGTTACTTTCAACAACTTTGGCAAACGTAATAAAAGGCGAAAGACCAACTCCAAAATCTTCAATCCTAATCTTTATTATTTTGCAGTAATACCAAAACTTTAGATTTTTATACACGTTACACTACTATTCCCATGATCAATTGAAAGATCGACTACATGGTTTCTACAAACGTTGGGAATCGTAGATTCACAATCCTTGTTTTAGGTCATGAACAATCTTACTTTGTAAAGAACAATACTGATTTCATCAACAAATATATCGAAGATGATATCAAAATGCTGGATTTTTCATATCCGTTTCATATGAGTTAACACCTATTTGTGATGGAGTTCGATATCTACTTTTCTGTCAAAAATTTGTGAGCTATTTGTGTGGTAATAGTGTCGTATATCCTTTGAGATTGGATTAACCATTGTGCTGTCTTCACATTTTATTACATACTGCGGCGATATCTCAGTCTGTATGTTTTGTCCATATCATTTAGACCTCGGGAGAATATATTTAACAATTTTGGTTTTATTTTATTTTCCCCGGGAACAATATTGTCTAATACAGACCCAATGTATTTCAATATATAATAATTTTCATGTGGCACAACTGATAACCTCATTTTTGGTGTGTTTTCGATATGTTATTTTTTTCCATTCATTTGGTGTGTTTGAGCTTTTGCAATTTGATAAGGGACTTTCCGTTTTGAATTTTCCATGGTGTTCGGTTTTTTTGTTATTTTACGTTTTATCTCTATATTTTTTAAACCTCATGATAAAACTTACTATTAAATGATAGATATGATTTGTTCTATATGTTAACCAAAGAGAAAACCATTTTGGTTTATATTCTATATCCATATATCATACGTTATTGCTGCCTGTACCAGATTTCTAAAAAGGTAGAAAAACTCCTACATGTAGTAAGAAGGGAAATCGATACAGTCACGTCTGCTTTACCAAAACAGACGCATTTTTTAAAATTTTGTATAGTCAAGTTTAATGACATACATATTATTTACATTGTACGTGTATCCGAATTCCGGGTGTGAATTTGCATTGTGGTTGATGCGCATGCATGCATAGCAGCTGACGTTTACCCTATCGACGCAACCGGTCTCGCTCCTTTGGAGTTCATGTAATTCCACCAGGTTTTGTTTGTTACCTATTTTTGTCTCTTCCTAATCGATTTAATAGACTTGCATCTCGTTAAAAAAGAGAGGCGAAAGATACCAGAGGGACATTCAAACTCATTAGTCGAAAATAAACTGACAACGCCATGGCTAAAAAAGAAAAAGACCATCAGATAAACAAAAGTACACAAAACACAACATAGAAAACTAAAGACTGAGCAACACGAACCCCACCAAAACTGGGGTTGATCTCAGGTGCTCCGGAAGGGTAAGCAGATCCTGCTCCACATGTGGCACCAGTCGTGTTGCTCATGTAAGTACAAACCATGTAATAAGTCTAATTCGGTAGGTCACATTCGGGAAAGGGGACGGGATAGTAGTGACGACATTAGGAGCATATCCGTTATCATCTGTGAAACGGATATTCTATAACGATCAACCAACTCGTGTTGCGTCCGTAAAACTTATGAAGGGATGATTTCAACTTCACCACTTGGAACTCTTGGTTTAATAGCTTCCTCGTGAGCAGCAACCCTCTATCAAGGAAATCATGATATGAAATACAAGCCCTGGAATATCGTATCAACTGGGAGATATATACTCCGTATGCAGGCGCTGCTGGAATGTTGCTACATAGAACTATTAAACTATTGTCACCTTAATTCCGCAATAATGACAAGACGATAAATACCGAACTTATTATGTGTGACCGTAACTACTTGAAAGACTTTGTTCGCTTTACAAGTGAAGACAAATATACCTTCAATATGAATTATCTTCATAATTTGAAATGATGCTGCAAAAAATAAAAAAAAATATTATTTGAAATGATGTCGACATGACAATTTTTAACCGCCAAAATTAATTCTTACAGTGGCCGATATCAAATACTCAGATGATATGACTTTTCTGTATATTAAGTATTTTAGATAGGTTTCAGTAAGAGAAGCATTCTTTGGCAAAGTATTATCAAGTATTTTTTTTCAATATGCATTTTTTTTCGTTGACTGCTATACTTAAATTATTGAAGAAATTAGCTTTTCCTAGTCTTATCTAACTTTGAATCTTACTGTGTACATAATTTCATTTTGCACTAATCAGCTGATTAAGGATGTTTCCTTAAAGAAAAAAACAGTTAACACGCCCCCAAAAAATAAAGTGCCTCTTTGAGGTAGCAAAGTCGTAACTGGTTATTGTTATTTATAACTGAAGGTTTTGGGGCATTTTGTGTTCGTGTTTAATGAAAGGTCTGTGATGATGGTAGTATTTTTCTCTCAAATTCATCCACAGATTGTCTAGACGCACATCAATTTAGAGTGGTCGATTATCTTTCATGTCAGAAAATGATTATTATTACCTCTATGTTGCACATTCAGTTTGGGTATTAATGTTGTTAAATTATTGTTTTACTGTCATGCACCCAACATCGCCATGTTTTATACTACATTGTATGGAGACGAAGACCAAACTAGGATAAACATATTGAACTCGTCTTATTCCCTTTCTGGCGACAATTACATTAATTCCCCCAATTTATTAAAGCTTTTAAAATTTTTAACCTTAAATTTTGTAGTCTTGTACTCTTTTCTAATGGTCTTATGGGATCTTAACATTTTTACTTTCTTATCTTGTACCATTGCAAATAAGCAAACAACTCTGTATTTTATATTAATTTCATACGTCATTGTGGATAAATTTGGATGAGACACCAAGTGTTTAACATGAGTTCTAACTAAATCCAACAAAGATCAATAAAAGTGAAGTGCTAATTAAATCACAATACATGTCATTTGTTGAATAAAACAATTTGTTTCTTAAACGGTATTGAATGTTTAATATGTCATAAAAACTAATAGTCTTAGAGTTATTTTCTCACGACTTTTGACACGACACATCTCCCTACAGTAATCGTTTTATCACCATTTATAGTAAAAACAATGCCTGGACTTTTAAATTCTTGTATTTCAACATCCCAATTCTATATTTTCAAAAATTTTAATAGAAAAATAATAAATCTGAAAGTTATAATTCAAAGCATTGCTAGTAGTAGAGCCTAAGTATATTATCTGTTATTATTCCATCATAATATTTTGATGAATAAACCTACTAAACAAAATGATTTACAATGCAATGTAATTTCAGACATGATTTTACATGAAATAACTTAAATATTGTTATCATATCTAACAAGTATATTAATTTTCATTTGAAATTAAACAATTCAAACGTTATTCAGAAATATTTTGATCAATGATAGATGTTTTGTTATTTCTGAAATTGTTGAATATTTATGGAGTTGAGGAATAGACAGTTAGCATATCAATATCACAATATACAGCCTGGGAAACGCTGTCATCATATTTGAGATACTTTGATATATATATGATATTAGACCAAATAAC